GGGTCTCGCTCTTGCTCAGGCTGGTTTCGAACTCCTGAGCTCAAACAATCCGCCCACCTCGGCCTCCCAGAGGGCTAGGATTACAGGCGTGAGCCACCGCGCCTGGCCTCCTCTTCCCTTCTTTATTTTTCCCTAGAGCATCTGTCACCAACTGGCACACTCTCTATGTACTCTTTGGCTCCCATACTGGAATGTAAACTCTTTGAGGGCAGATATCCATCTGTTCTATTTACTATAGGACAATGACATAGAGGAAGGACTGAGCTCAATGAATAGTTACTGAATACATGAGTATCACAGCTGTGAAGCACATGGCTTAGACCCCCCCCCGCCCCACCGAATCTGATCCAAGGCTCAGGGGAGTACATGAATTGCCCAAGCTCACACAGCCAGGCAGCAGCAGAACCAAGACTTAGGACTCTTAGCTTTCTAATCATACCAAGGCAACAATTTTACATTTTGATTTCTTCAAATCATACAACAGCTAGGGATTTGGAGGCTCTATGTTTTATTGCAATTTAAGATTTCTTGTCTTTGAGGCTAAGAATCCCATAATAATTTTGGAAAGCTAAACCCACCCACTTGGACTAAGAGTTGTTGGGGCTCAGAAAACAATATCCCAAAATGAGGGCCTCAGAAACAAAAGTTTTTCTCTGGCCTTCTCTTGCTCTCCCTACCTGTCAGTCCCATTCTCCTCGGAGGCTAGCCATAGAAACCAGAACCCCTTTTTTCAAAAGCCAGCCATAAACACTAAAATTATTCTGTAAAAACTTGCCTTAAAGAAATGATCTGATCTAGCTTGTTTGACTGTAGGTCATGAGACCCCCATTCCAGAGAAGGTCTTGCCCCACGCCCAGAAGGAAGGGATGCTGCTCAGAGAGGCCAAGAAAAGTCTAGACAGGCCTTGCTGGGCTTCCCCACTCGGTTTTGTCCAATCGTATTTCTACACAGCTGTCCATACTTTATTGAACCTAAGCATAAAAATGAACAATTTCCCCCGTATCTTTGGGTCTAAATTCTGAAGGCTCCTGTGTATACATTTAAAAAAAATTTTTTTATCATTTTTTGTCTCCCCAGCTGTGTGAACATGTATACATATTAAATAAATAATTTACTGTATTCCTTTTCTCCTATTAGTCAATCTGCCTTGACTTTTCAGTAAACCTTTAGGAGGCCAAGGGATTTGGTCCCTACAGAGTCTTTAATGTACACCTGAGTACATGGGCAGCTCCTGATTCAGAAAATTCTAGAAGGGTACTACAGGCCTTTGAAGGTTATGATCTTTTAGTTGATTAAGTCCTGTCTCTTGCTGTCTGTGGTTGAATGGTACAGTAGCTGTCTTTTCTGATAAAGGACACAGTTTGATTTTGGTCTAATCAGGAAGCCAAAGGCCAACTTCCCAGTCCCCAAGTTTGCTGCACAGTGCTGGGTGGAACCCGTGTGGTTTCCAGAATTGTCTCCTTCGTTTACAAACCCTCAGGAGCCATCGTTCATATTAACACGGTCTCCTTCCAGTCTAAGCTGATAAACACTGATCAAAGAAAGCACAAAACATTAGAAAAGATGGTTAAATTCACTTTCCAAAAATCTAATCAGAGAAGGCCGGGGCCTGACAGGAGCGGGCAGCTGTGTGCCCAGCCCCACCACGTTAAGCGCCGGGGAGGCGGTCTGCCTCCCCGCTTTGGCCTTGCACCTCCCACCTCGTCTGGCAAGATGCCCCGAACCCCGAACACGTGCGACCGCCCGAGCCACTGCAGGTGCTGAGCGGAACGGTCGTTCCCACCCTGCCAACCCTTCATTCTCTTTGCGCCCCGCAGACGCCTCATTACAAAGGGCTTTCCCGGCTGCCGGTCGCTGGAGCCTTCGTTTCCTAGACGGAGAGCCGGGGTCTCGCCCCGGGACGAGCGGGCTGGAGGGGGGGAGCAGGAGCAGGTGCCGCGAGCCGCGGTTTCCTCACCTGCGAGGGAAGGTGGGGGCTCCCCAGGGCCGCCCCCTCCCGGACACCCCCGCCCCCGTCCTCCCGGACCTACTTCCCCGAGCCGCTCACGCCCATCACCAGCAGCGCGCCCGGCGCCGCCATGGCCCAGCCCGGCTCCTTCCCGTCGCCTTCCGGGCCCGCCGGCCCGGCCTTCCCGGAGGGCGGAGCCGCCCCGCCCGGCCCGAGCCGTGCGCCCTGCGCCCTCCCCGCCGCCCCGCCGCCGCTCCGCTCCGCCCGGAAGTGCAGCGCGCGCCGGGCCTGGCTGCAGGGGGCGCCCGGGCCCCCAGCCTGCCGGCTCCTTCTCCCGGCCTGTCGGCTGCAGGGGAGCCTCCCCTCGCCCTGGCAGGCCGGACCCTCCTCCACCCAGGGAAATAGCATTCATTCATCATTTATTTATAAAATACGTTCTTGTAAAAAGCATGAACAGAAAGTAAACTCACACTTTCAAATACCAGGCAGCAATAAGCAGCTCTTCCTAAAACGACCTCCTGCTCCCCTGTAGGTAGACAGGTATGAATATTTTATGAAATTGGGATCGGGCTGTACAGTGTTCTATAACCTGACTATTTGTCGCAGTAATATGCGGGGGACATCTTTTGGTGTCAAATCCAGGGAAGACCATCTGTACGGTGGCATGGCTGCATGGCTCTGCTATTTAATCCCGCTCTGGTTAGGGACGTTTCTTAAGAGGAAGGAGCACTCCTTTAAAGTGCCCATTTGCTTTAAAACAATGTGTTTATTATGGGTCATTTAAAGTATTTGATTAAAAGCGCTTCTAACGACATTTTGCATCACCTCCTTTGGTCTTTTATTAACCAACTTTGTATTACTCTGTGTCCTAGAAAACGATAAAAGTGACATAAAAGCATTCATCTAATGAATATTTCAATTGCCCCTTTACTGACTTTGTTTTTCATACTTAGCCTGGGTAGGTGAGATTTCGATCTGGATAGGGGTGGTACAGATGAAAAAATTGAAGCCCAGAGAGACAAGTCTTAACAGTTCAGTTAAATAGACATTTCTTAAATAGATATTTCTTAAATAGACATTTCTTGAACAGCTACCATTCACAGGTTGGTATAATATTAACATTCATTAAAAGGTCAAATATTACCCCCTAGGCACTCCCAGGGCGATAAGAGGAACAGATGTATAGGCAAATGCTGTAACTTGTGCCTGTTTTACCAGCTCTGTACAAAAAAAGTTCATATTTCTTTCAATGTTCAAATCAGAATGATTAACAGAGTCTGGTTCTTCTCCCTGGGTTTCCCTCCCAACATATGTCCAAGGATTTCAAATTCGCTGTAGTTGTCAGGATGGTGGCAAGAAACAGCACACTCAAGTTGGGTCACCTGAACAGGATTTAACAAAGGGACTATTCACAGAGAGGTGGGTAGGGTGGTCAGAAGCAGCAACAAGGGGCAATGTCCTGGTCTTAGTAACTGAGGGGAGGTGTTTTCACCCTTTACTTATAAAGGGGTGATGAGAGGGAGGCTTTATGGGAAGGGAGAAGAGGAGAGAGAGAGAGAGAGAGCACACTGTATGGAGAGAGGTGTCTCTGACTGTCACCTTAGGAAGAGAGACAGATATCCCTCATTGATCCAACAGAGAGGGAATCAGGAGGAAAAATAACCTCCCCTCCTCTACCCTCCCCTTGCCCTCTGATCTCATGCTAGTGATCAAACTCCACTTGCCAAACCCAATTGGAACGCAGAGAGCTAGGCAGTTGAAGTGGCCTATACATGCCAATTTCCCAGGGAAAAGAGCAGGGAAGAGAAGGGTGGAAAGTATATTTAGAGAAGCAAATGAAAGATACCCAACACTTCTGCTCACCAGTTAGTGAAGTCCTCCTGTGCTTCCTTCCAGGAGATCAGAACTCAAGAAGTGCCCCTAAAAGCTGAATTCCATATTTTTTGGTTTCCAGAGAGTGCTACCTGCTGGTCCTGGAAGTCCCAGTGCTTCCTGGCTGTCACTAATGGACAATCTGAGGCTAGGCATTGGTCTGATATTAGGTCCTGTCTGTCTGCTGCGAGAACTGCTGTGCTAAGGCACATGGTGCCCTGGAAATCCCAAGAGTCCCTGGTAAGGCACAGCTTCCTGTATGTGTTACTATAGCCATCCAAGTCCAAATCACCGCCCCCCCAATTCAGGACAGCCTGCACTGTAAGCCTTGCCCAGTAATGGTGGCTGTGGTAAGGGCCTGTATGAAGTTGCTCACTTCACAGGAGTTAAATGAGGGCCAGTGGCGAACACTTGCTCTTAATGCACACAGGCACTTCCCCGGGAAACAAATCAGCACAAAGATGGCTGAGTAGGGGCAGATGTTCACATAAAAGAAGCCTCATAGATCTGACATGTTTCATTGAGAAGAAGTTGGGTCTGCACCTCTTCCCTTCCAGGAGACTCCTTGTTCCCAGTTTAACTCTAAGAATTCAAATAGATTCATGGGAAAACTCCACAGGTCTTAGCCAAGCTCCAAGGTAACCTGTTACACTTTCTTCTGGAAATAATGGCTATATACTGGCTTCACATCTTCATAACTAAAAAGAGCCACTTGAAAGGCACAGAACAAAGTTTGCACAAAAGCGAAATGACACCTGTTATCTTAATACAGAAAAAGCATTTGACAAAATTCAACATCCCTTTCTGAACAAAATACTCAACAAACTAGGAATACAAAATTCTCAGTCTGACAAAGAGTATCTATGAAACTCCCAGCTAACATTATACTTAGTAATGAAAGACTGAATGCTTCTCTCTATGATCAGGAACAAGCAAGGAATGTCTACTCCCACCACTTTTATTCGACATTCTGCTGGAGGTTCTAGCCAGGGCAATTGGATGATGAAAATAAATAAAAGGCATCCAGATTGGAAAGGAATACATAAAACTGTCTCTATTTCCAGATGATATGATCTCATATATTGAAAACCTAAAGAATCCACGATAAACTTATTAAAGCTAATAAATAAGTTCTGCAAAGTGGCAGACTACAAGATCAATATACAAAATCAATTGCAGTTCTAAATAACCTGAAAATGAAATTAAGAAAAAATTCCATTTATAATAGCATCAAAAAATAATTAGGAAGAAATTTAATAAAAGAAGTATAAGATTTGTATTATGAAAACTGTAAAACAAAAGAAATTAAGGAAGGCCTAAATAAATAGACATCATGTTTTCATGGTTTGGAAGACTTAAAATTTTTGAGATGGCAACACTTCCTAAATTGTCCTACAGATTCAATGCAATCCCCATCAAAATCCCAGCTGACTCCTTTGCAGAAATTGACAAGCTGATCCTAAAGTTCATATTTGAAGGATATAGGACATTTGAAGGATATAGAAAAATCTTGAAAAAGAGCAAAGTTGGAGGATTCACATTTCCCAATTTCAAAACTTAACTATACCTATATACTCATAAAGACAGTGTGGTACTGGCATAAGGATAGACATAGAAACCAATGGAATAGAACTGAGAGTCCAGAAATAAACTCACACTTTTGTATGGAAAATTGATTTTCAACAAGGGTGCCAAGACAACTCAATGTGGAAAGAACAGTATTTTCAACAAATGGTGCTGGAACAACTGGATATCCACATGTATAAGAATAAAGTTGACTCCGATTTCACATTTATACACACAAAAAATGACTCAAAATGGATCAAAACTCTGAATATAACAGCTGAAACCAAAAAATTATTAAAAGAAAACATAGGCACAAATTTTTGTGAATACAGAATTAGTTTCTTAGATATGACAGAAAAGCACAAGCAATAAAAGAAAAAATAAATAAACTTGACTTTATCAAAATTAAAAACTTTTTGCTGCAAAGGGCACCATTAAGAAAGTGAAAGGGCCGGGCGCGGTGGCTCACGCCTGTAATCCTAGCTCTCTGGGAGGCTGAGGCGGGCGGATTGTTTGAGCTCAGGAGTTTGAGACCAGCCT